ATGCGATTTGCACTTAACCAACAACAAAAATGAATGCCTTTTTGTTCTTGTATAATCATGTCTAAGCCCAAACTCTCCCTAGTTTTGAGAAATACATGTAGATCTTTTATACAAAAACATTTTGCTCTTTGGTTTTTGTCATAGATGGACTTGAACCAGCTAGATGTGGCCAAGGTTCACCTTTTGGATTTTTTGCTGGTTCTCGCACGATCAAGAGCATAGAAGCTCACAGTTATCAACCAGTCAACAGAGCGTGGCGCATGGTACCGTCAAACACGGACGCCCACGGAATGCGCAGCAGGCCAGGTATATACGCACTGATGTCAATAATTACAACGGCAGCTTAAATAAATTGACAAAATAGGAGAAATGAAGACAGGGTCTTGAATTGTATTTCTTGCGAATACCTGATGTAAGGCTTCTTGTAGGAAAGCTTGTTGATTCATCTGCTCACCGACTTGAAGGAGAAGATTATCAACCTCTGTCTGTAACGACTCCTGAAAAGATGTAACGAGAAAGAGGCAGTGCTATTGTCTAGTAGCCCTGTCGATATCAGAAGTTTTGATTATCGATACATGTACATGTATATCATTAAACCAATATGGATTATAATCAAAGAATATTTCAAACAAACATTTTTGGTATGTTGCAAGTTCTTACCAGGTATACAGTTTGTGTATTGGGCTGAATCACTTTGTAAAAAAAGCAGGTTAAAATCTACCTAAAAATACTTTATTGCAGAGTTTCAGCGGGTAAAAAAATTTGCTCCTGTATCACATATGACATCATCACTTTGTGCATTCTTCGTGTGGAAGCTGCTTGAGAAGCTTGGAGCAGTATGTAAAAAAATTTGAAAATATTCAAAAACATTTGAAGAGTTGAGTTGTGTACCAGTACCTGTACGTGAAAAACACATCCATACCTATTTTGTCTTACCAAAAATGCATCTCGGCAACATTTTTACTTCAAAAACTATCAGAAATTACCCCTTTTGTATTTCTTCCTTTCACATCCTTGGTGATTGAGAGTGCAGAAGGCATTTTCAAACCAAGTATTGTTCTGACTTTAACGCGACATCAGCGCAAATGTTTAGCCGCCTCAAAATATCTTGCTTAGCTCATAGACTGGTAAGCCTATATGACGATCTTTCACGATATTTCGATTTAATTTTTATATCGGAAATCGTATCGATCTCTTAAAAAAAATCGGCACATCATGGAATTCGATATGCCGAAAAATATCGCGATATTCTTTTGAATTACCACTTTTGTAACCATTAGAGTCACCACTGGACTTTAAATAGAGCCGCTACAGTGCTCCCATAAAAAAACGCAAACCACAAATTCACTGTTACCGCATTGTACCGCAAGGTCTTACCTATCAAGGGGCAGAACCAACTGACTTAACGAACGTCACGTGTATTGGATTTTGCGTCTTCCACGTGGCAGTACAAACATGGAGCTATACAAACAACACAATCCAGACCATCTTTTTAACCGATTGTTCTCAATTTCGCCCCCAAGTACCAAGTGAAAACGTAATCACGTGCGTCTAAGTTAACCGAAGGGAAAACAAGTCTCTGACATTTCGCAAAGAAAATACGGTGCCTGTTTTGTGACGGAAATGTTTCATACAGAACACTGCTTATTCTCAAAACGATTCGATTGGGATGATTTTTTAGACATGTTTTTCCGGAGAAGAAGTATGTAAGTTCAGCAAGGCAGAACAGAGGCATTTCACCATGGATACCGCACAGGTACTAGTCTCTGAAAGAAATAGTTGAACGAGAAGTTGTACAGACAAAACACCGCAAATAATTGTAGATTATGACGTTGAGAAGTGAACATGTTTCGTTTCGGCGCACGGTCAGGGGAGCCCTCGTCGGGCCCACAAATTTTCTTTTCCCAGGCGGCGCAGCCTGCGCCTCATCAGGCCATAGATCAGGCAGACCCAAACGACATCCGCATACATGGTTGTTAAGCGCCTCCTACAATACTTTTATGATACGTACGCACTATATAATGGTTTTGTTTCCCCACAATGTGGCGAGCAGTGCGACAGCTCAGTCGATACTAAATTGTGATTTTGCACCGCGAGGTTGCGGGGTTCGCGAATCCACGGTTTTGCACCCGGATTTTTTTTAATTTTCTAACCTGAGGCTTCGGAGGTTTTTTCAAAAAGGGAAATAAAGTCCGAATTCCATATATTATATATTTTCGATTTTCTTCTCATGTTTTTAGAAAAGTAAAGTCCAAAACTCCATAGCGTATATGCGGATGTCGTTTGGGAGAAAAAATTTGCTGCCGGGCCAACGACTCCGGCGAAATAGATCAAATTTTCCTGCACATATTTTCCTGACTCGTTCCGTCTCTGCCGTGGCTGTACCCGGGCACTTACACTTGCTTAGTGCCAAAACTGTGCCAAACTTATGAAATCAGTTCATATTTTAACAACAAAAAACGTCGAAAACCAACTGTTCAATCGTGACTTTCGTTCAAAAAATTGGAAGAATTTTTACAAAGGGGTGCTTCACCCTCTTTTTGGAGTTAACATCGTTTTTCATCAATAAATTCTTTAGAAAAAAATACTTTTGTGAGTTTGTAACAATGAAGAACTTTTTCTGAACAAGAAAATATTTCGGACTCCATAAAAAAAATGTTATTTGTAATTTTGAAAGGATGGAAATACTGGTAAATTGTTTTCAAGGAAGCACACCCTTGACCGCAAATGGTGTGGGCTGTAACGGTCTGCACGTGGCATCAGTGCGGCGTGCATTGCGTGCTGGTACTTCGTTCTTTCCTTGTGAGATATTTCTATTTACACATTTTTATCAAACATTTCAAGGTAAATTTTTTCGATATTTGAATGTGGAATTTGTTTTCTCCTTAATTGGCAAAGTAAATGAGAATAGTACTCAAATAAAATTGATGATTTTGTTCAGGACATATTCGGACCATCGGGACTATCGGGTTATTTTTCACGGCAGTGGATGGTGACTTTGGTCGTGTTTTTTGTTTATTCCATTGTTCCATGAATGGAAAAATGACGTCATCACGATAATATTGCGATATCCGATATTTTTTCCATGATATTCCGATTTAAAAATAAATGGATATCGAACAGGCTTATAGACTGGTTCCCGCCAAACAAAGATGATAAACTGCAATTGCACTTAATGATTGCACATACATTAGACCTACGTGAATTTCCTGTCATTTTTAGTCGGTCCCGCGATTGGTCCTTTTGTTCAAGCTATACAAAGTGTAAAGCCCCATGGAGTAAAAATAAAACCGATTGTCAACACTACCAACATGTTGATGTCTTCGGGCAAGTATAAGTGAAGATCATGAAAAACACCTATTTTGACGTGATTTACTTAAAATAACGAGTTTCAACCTACTTGGCACTTTAAGGGAACCATTTTGTATTTAAGATTCTTGCACTGCCTTCTGTTGACAAAACTGTTTTTGTCCAGTGGTCCTACCTTGCTCAAACACCGGCCAACATTTCTGACCAATATCATTTACTCATATCAAATTTTGGATTTTTCAATTTCATTAAAAAAATGATAGACAATGTCAATATCACACTGTAATCAAGTAATATTGATATTTCGACGGAGTAGTGTGCCGCAAAATTACTTGTTTGGAACAGAAGTACAGAGAGACACCAATGCCATACCTTTGAAGTTTGTCGCAATTCAACCTTCGGATTAAGCTGTTCCAGCCTTTCCACCACCTCCCTCCGTTCAAGTTGCTCTCTGGCTCCATCTAGTTGGTGTTGTAGCTCAGCTTTGGTTGTCTTCATTGTCTGAATCTCACGGCGGAGGAGTTCATTACTGATACATGCTGACTCCATGTGACTCATCAGACTGCTAGCATCCAGTTGGCTTGGACTCTCAGCTTCTAATCTGTCAAGATTTAATGGAAAAATGGGTATTAATGACTGTAACATTCAACACCTTTATTGTGGAATTGCGGAAGGAAAAGCTGTCATTTAAAGCGTGGACTACATGTACATGCAGTCCTCTTGGGAGACCACATCACTTCATCACACTAAGCCAAATTATCATTTGTTCATTCTCATTTTGAAAGCAATGCAGTTATTTTGGGTACAAATCAGAATACCTTAGCTTACATATAACAAAGTGGTCCATTTTAGGCAGGGATGTTCAAATTCTATATTACAATTTGGTGAGCAATCATGCCTATATGATTTATTTTCAGCATGTGAAGTAGCATGTGGCCCAATATACAGAGGCTTCTGATAAGCATTGATTAGGGAATGTAATACTTACTTGAATGCTGGTACAACAATCGGTGACGTCAGTGTCTCTGCAGTACTGAGAGCAAGGGGTGTAACAGCTGTGCTTGCATCTACTGAGGCAGATGGGCTGGTTCCACATTTCATATCAACAACTCTAACAGGTGTTGATCCACACTGGGCATCTACTGCCTGGTATGAACCTGTACCTACCCCAACCTCTGTGACTCGTACTGGACTGGTTCCTGTAGAAGAATCAGTGACCAGAGCTGGGTCTGTACTCAGACCAATATCAGCAGATTTAACTGGGGTAGTACCGATGAGGGCATGGCTAGATTGGATTGGTGTGGTTTCAGTCATAGTATCTGACATTCTGATGGGCGTCACCATGACAGACTTGTTTGTCATTTCTACTGATTCAGAGGGTGTGGTTCCAACACTGGCATCCATCAGACCGGTGGGTGTAGTAACAGTTGAAGTGTTGGACACTCTAACAGGTGTGGTCCCACAGTTAGCATCACTGCATTGTTTGGATGCTGTTCCGAAAGCAGAATCTGGCAGTTGACTTAGGGTCGCTGTGACGGACTTGTTAAGAACTTCAACTGGCCTGATAGGTGTGGTTCCGATACAGGCATCAGTTGAACTGGTGGGATTGGTCATAGTCACGCCATCAGTCATTCCAGTGGGTGTGGTTCCATTGTAAGCTTTAGAGACATAAATGGGCGTGGTCATCAAACAGCTATCTGTCTTTTAAGATTGGTTTGTGAGGAGTAGTCCCAGTGAATATGCTGTAAGATTTCACAGGGGTCACGCCAACAGAGCTGTCCATCATTGCTGTTATATTGGAGTGGACTGGCGTGCTACCAACAGCTACACCAGCCACATTAGTGGCAGAAGTCATAGAGTCAGTTTGCATTGTCTTGACCGGTGTCATGGCAACAGAAGTGTTAGCTCTGTCATCTGGTCTGGTACCATGACTGGTGTGTGGTAGTTCAATGGGCACAGTGCATGAACTCCTGATTGCAATTTCAGCTGGTACCACTTTCATTAATGGTTCAAGTTCAACCAGGGCCATGTTTGTCATTTCAAGCTTTTGAACAACTTTTTGGACTGAATCAGTTCCCTGAATCATCTGATGAGAAGCAATGGGAGTAGATCCTGGTAAGCCTAGCACCAATCTACGTGAGCGCATGTGATTGTTGCTGTTTTCTCCATCAGCGTCTATAGATATGTTGTCTTGGTGGATAGTTGGAGCAAGTCTTGTTTCCTGACCCTCATGATGATTAGCAGGTGTAAAGCATGGCTTACTGATCTTCATGACAGGACTACACCCTGCAGCCATTCCCTTCGCCAGTGATAATTCAGATGAAATACCAGACAGGTTGTCCTCTAAGAAGACGCTGGTATCGTCCTGACCCTGGCCAGAGTTGTTGTAGGACTCGTCAAGCCCCAGAGCAATACTCCACAAGCCATCAGTGGTTGGTGTTACAGGATCTAGAGCCAGTGACTCTGTGCTGCTGGTCTTTGTAGGGATTGAGCAGGTTGCTCCTTGCACCTGTTGAAGTAGTAACAAGGACAAAGATTCATCAATTTTCATTTTAGTTTCCTGCTTGCAAAAAAATGTTCAGCTGACATTCCTACTGTACGGTGCAAACCCAACTCCAAAATCACAAATCCTCTGCATGAAGTGCGGGATCAAACATCACCTTACAACAATCGGACACAGATGAAAGCCTAGAGGTTCTTCCTACCTTCTCATTTCTCAATTCTTGTAAGGCAGCATGAATTGCACTATCTACCAATCCTGACACAGTCTGTTCCAACAGCTGATCTCCATCAGATATGGAAGACAGTGGTTCCATCCATTCAGTGCCACTTTCCTGACAAAAAAATCAACAAAAATTCTAAAAACTACTTGTAGCATGAAAGTTGTAGGTTTTGCACGGAGCATTACCATTCACATTGATCATTTTGTCAATGTCTTGTGACTAGTAAGTCACAACAATACAGTGAAATCTCGAGTTGTCAAACCTCAAGGGAACAGGTTCAAAATTTGACTGAAGCAGAGTTTTGAGTTAAGCAGGGTTGTATATCATTGTTATACTACAGAAGGCAATGGATTCTTTGTTTGACTTAACAGTTGTTTGACTTAAAGGGTGCTCATTTCATATTCACTATTTTTGTTTTTAAATATTTTCTAATGTCGATTTGTTTGAAATGTATGTATTTGCTTACATAGTTACAGTGCACATACATGTACATGTACCTTTGGAAGATGAGAGCAAGCAGATATTTCTTTGAGAAGGACTTGATTGAGGAGAGACTCAGCAGCTTCGGTCACACTCAGGGCTGTTCTCTTACAAGACGACCAAGCCACTGATGGATCTTTGCCTTTCCTGAAGAAAAAACAATTACAGAAGTGTCAATCCTCTGTAATGTAGCAATTCTTACTGACTTAAAAAATATGAGCACGTAAATCAAAATAAAGGATGTTTATTTTAAGCATTTGTGGCACCTGTGTCAAATCAGGCACTTTAAAGCTATAGTCCATCATTCACAGCCATCCGAAAAAGTAACTGGCGTATTATTGTTGAAAAACTTGTTGGTTGAAAGATAGTAAGGGGACTAAACTCCCTGTAAAATTATTCTTTCTGGCAAGCTCTCATTTTGAAGTAATCAACGAAAGAAGGCCTTTCCAACGGTGCATCTTAAGACGCACCGTAGGAAAATTTAAATTAGTAGTTCGTTTTGTTATTTGGCGCAGCGCGCGCAAGCATTGGCACGACGCACAGGCGCACACGGTTGCTATAATTCGTCGGATCAGTGCGCGACATCGCGTATAGCTGCAATTCAAAAAATGATTCAGAAACTTTTGATTTGAAATTGAGATCCTAGAATGCTGTTTTTCTCGGAATATACAGCTGAAGCTGAGCTGAAACTTCATCAGGTTAGTTGTTCAGTATCTTTCATTAGATTTTGAACACTTTTATTGCTTCAAACGAACAAAATGCACAAATTACAAATAATGGACTAAATCTTTAAAGATACGTCATCTGTATGTTGTTTGGGTACACAGTAACTTTGATCCACTAATTTAAGACCTCCTAGAAAGGGTACAGGAGTAAACATTTGGATATTGTGAGTGAGATTGTTTTGCATCTGTTGACAGCCACCTCTATTCCTTCCAGAAGCAGCCTCCGCATCAAATCTGTACCTGTTATTTCTTTGTCTCTGACTGTTATTACATCTGTTTCATGCATTGAACAAGGGCTACAAAATCCTGGCAGGCCAAGTCCACAACTTCATACAAATGTGAACTGCGTTAAGTATTTTCTAAGCAAACATGTTGGACATGTTTTGTTAAAGGTGCCAGCTAAACTAGATCAAGATGCATAATGCATGTATGGGTGTACATGTACTGATCTTGATTGGTTCCAAACTAAACTGAGTTCAATAAACTTTTTTTTTTTTTTAACGGTATATTTCAATGCCTACATGTACTAAAAGCTACATATTTCTCCAAAGGTGTACTTTTGTTCTTTTCAAACCTGTGTTTCTTGCTTTGTCTTCCTCGAGTCTTGTTTGCAGATGTCAATCTGGTAGGGGTGCAGTGTTTGACAGGGGTCCATATCTTCTGCACCATCTTTGCTGATGATCTGTAGTTGTGGGATGCAGTTACATCTTGGTTGAGACTAGCTAGAGGCTTTCTGACTGGAGTCACAAGAGGATTCAAGGTTTTCCCTGGTGTCTTCACCTGCAAGCAACATGTCAGGAAACAGTTTCAATACCATTTATAGTGTAAGTTCAAAAATTACACTTGGAATGTAAGGTTGACAAAAATATCTTGCTTCAACAGACCTGCTAAAAGACCAAAATTTATGGTCGTCTGTGGGGCTTGTGTTGAAAAACTATTCAGGCTCTGGGGTTTTGGGGGTTTGGTTTATGGTTTTTTTTTTTTTTTTTAAACATGACATATCAGTTAAAACTTTGCATGCCACTTAAAACAATACCGTAAAATAGCAATTAACAGACAAAAAAAAATACTAGAGCTATGTCTGTTCGAACAGAACATAAGGCTTTTTCGCATTTAACAAATGTTTTCTGTTGTGTTTATCCTTTTGCAGTCACTTTTGAGAGTGCTTGATACAGTAAAGGTTATTCAAAATGCTTAGAATTCCAAAAATAAAGTGTTATCACATGACGTCACATGCCCTGTGATGACGTCATCTTGACAACACATGTCAATGCACATTTTGTCATTGTGGTTTTGGTTTGTACCAAGTTTAAAGTCAATCCGATGAAAGGAAGGGTACAATTTTGGAAGCAGAATACAATTTTAAAATATAAAAAAATCATAAAAAATCTACCGATGACGTCATCGTGACGTCACTTTGGACTTTGCATACTAGTACCATGATCTACCTACCCACCAAGTTTCATGACGATCGGACCTTCCCTTATATGCATTTTTGATGACGTCATGATGACGTCATACAAACCAAATACAAAAAGAATTTTGAATTTTGCATGTTGCGTTCATGAGATATGGCTTAAAGGTCCAAAAATTCAAAAAAACATATAAAATGGCACAATGACGTCATCATGACGTCATTTCAAATTTTACCTATAACACTTCCCGGCCTACCTACATACCGAGTTTCAACCCATTCAAACTTACCGTTCTGTAGATATAGGACTTCAAAATATGCACATTTGTGATGACGTCATGTGACCCATGATTACGTAATCAGGATGTCACTCTTCGGGACACAACTTTGCCATAAGGACAATGCATATGCTTAGTTTGAATGATGTTTGACAAAGTTCAATGCCAAAAGTGGCGTGTACAAAAATCATGTGCATTGTCAATGGGATTTGAAATAAAGCTTTGACACATGACGTCACATGCCCTGCGATGACGTCATCTTGAAAACCATCCTCAATGTACATTTTGTCATTGTGGTCTTGGTTTGAACCAAGCTTAAAGTCAATCCGATGAAAGGAAGTGTGCAATTTTGGAAGCAGAATAAAATTATAAATATTTAAAAAATCATAAAAAAATCAAATGTTGACGTCATCATGACGTCACTTCGGACTTTGCATACTAGTACACTTATCTACCTACCCACCAAGTTTCATGACGATCGGACCTTTCCTTATATGTGTTTTGAAAATCCGCATTTTTGATGACGTCATGTTGACGTCACATATTTTTTCAAAATTTTATGCAAATACCTATTACCTAACGAACCAAATACATAAAGAATTGTGAATTTTGCATGTTGCGTTCGTGAGATATGGGTAAAAGGTCCAAACATTTAAATATTCATATAAAATCGCATGATGACGTCATCATGATGTCACCTTATTTTGTATCTATAACACATCCCGGTCTACCCACATACCAAGTTTCAACACAATTGGACTTACTGTTTTGTAGATATAGGACTTCAAAATATGCATGTTTGTGATGACGTCACATGGCCCCTGATGACGTAATCATGACGTCACTCTTCGGGACACAACTTTGCCATAAGGACAATGCATATGCTTAATTTGAATGATGTACGACGAAGTTCAATGTCAAAAGTGGCGTGTACGAAAATCGTGCACAAAGTCTATGGGATTTTGGGCACAAAAAGAAGAAACCCCCCCCCCAAAAAAAAAATCAGAACAAAAAGAAAGGCTTATTCGCAAATTGCGAAAAAGCCAATTAAATGCATATACTTTAGTCTGTAAGTCTAGGACTTACGTAAATATGTTTGTCTAGAGGCAAAAGAAAAGGACTAAAATGGTACATAATTGTGTAAATAGAAGTCACTGGGCAAGCAATGGTACACGCATTATACAATGAATGTTTATTCATGTAGTATCTAGAGTTGTCAAAGAGGACACTGCATCTGAATCATTACATTGGTCTTAAACTATGTGTCCCAAATGTGTTTTTCTTGTCTGCTAATTCTTCAGCAAAACACGCAGCTCCAAATATTTTGCAACTCTGTGTACTTTATGCTGGTGTACGATGTTGGCTATTTAAAGTCTGCCGACTACGAGTGGTAAAACTACGACACAATTTGAAGTTCAAATTAAGCGGCCGGAAGCACAACAGTTTCAGTATCTAGGATTAGTTGAGTTACCTGGGCACCGACATTCTCCTTGTCAACTGTCTGGTGTCTTTGTGGTGTAGCAAACATGATCGAAGAACTACATGCACCCAACTCTACATGGATTTGGATTCTGCAACGGACAATTCAACAGGACCAAGATTTACATGTTAGCATTGGCAAGTACGACATGATTGATACAAGGGCCTAACAGAGGATGTGTTTAATGGCATGCAACATGCCGGGTGCCCTTACACATGTTGAATTTACCTCCTTAAGTGCCGTAACAAATAGCTGTTAAAGTTTTGTGTTCATATTAATAATCAAAGATGATGGAGAAACCAATAAAAAAAATGCAGTTCTTGGAGTCTGGTTCCCTGACCAAACTTCAGATGAAGCGG